CTTAAAAGAAATTTGATTTCTGTAGGACAGCTTGATGGAGAAGGATATTGTACAACCTTTTCAGGTTGTGAATGGAAGATTACCAAAGGAGCACTCATCCTTGTTCTTGGAAAGAAGACTGGTACTCTCTATAAAACCTCAAATTTATATAATATCATTACAATAGCAGATGCTAATAGAAAAATAAACCTATGGTACCAAAGGCTTGGCCATATGAGCGAGAAAGAGATGAAGACACTTTTGTCAAAAGGGAAGCTGTCGGATCTAAAGAGTATAGATGACAGCCTATGTGAGGATTGCATCTTTGGTAAACAAAAGAAAGTTAGTTTTGCAAAGATTGGCAGGACGCCCAAGGCTACAAAGTTAGAGTTGGTTCATACTAATGTATGTGGACCATCTCCAGTTCTATCTATTGCAGGCTCACTATATTATGTTGCCTTCATCGATGATTCTACAAGGAAGGTGTGAGTTTATTTTCTAAAGAAGAAATCAAAAGTCTTTGATACCTTCAGAAATGGAAGGCCATGGTGGAAAATAAGACTGGTTTGAAAGTCAAGCGGTTGAGGTCTGATAATGGAGGAGAGTACAAAAATAGTAGATTTAGAGAATTTTGTGCAAACAATGGGATCAAGATGGAGACAATAGTTCCCATGACACCGCAGCAAAATTACGTAGCAGAGCGTATGAGTATAACTCTGAATGAACGTGCCAGAAGCATGAAGATACATGCATGCTTACCCAAATTACTATGGGCTAAAGCTATCAACATTGCAGCTTACCTGATCAACCGTGGGCCCTCAGTTCCCTTGGATGGAGGAATACCAGAGGAAGTTTGAAGCAGAAAAGAAATAAATCTTTCACACTTAAGAGTGTTTGGTTGTATTTCTTATGTACACATAAATTCTGCTGAAAGAAGTAAACTTGATGCTAAGTCCAACAAATGTGTCTTTGTTGGTTTGGTGGTGATGATTTTGGTTACCGTTTTTTAGACTACAAAAATCGAAAGATCATCAGAACCAGATATGTCATTTTCAATGAGAATGTGATGTACAAAGACAGGTCAACCATAGAATCAAGTAGCTCTAATACCGAAGCTGAAACAAAGGAATTTGCTGAGTTTGAGGAGATTTCTGGAAATGATGTTCAGATTAGTCCTAAAGCAGTTCAAGAAGAACCAGGCACACCAGAACTTAGACGCTCCTCCAGAATTCCTAAACCAACCCAACGTTATTTGCCTTCTTTGCACTACTTGTTGCTGACTGACAATGGTGAACCAGAGTGCTATGATGAAGCAATGCAGGTGGAGGATTCAGTCAAGTGGGAGTCTTCCATGAAAATGAGATGGACTCGATTATGTCAAATCAGACGTGGGAATTAGCTGAATTACCACCAGGTAAGAAAGTGCTCTATAACAAGTGGGTTTACATGATCAAAGAAGAGCACAATGGGAGCAAATGCTACAAAGCAAGATTGGTTGTCAAAGGTTTTCAGCAAAAAGAAGGTATTAACTACAATGAAATTTTCTCTTCAGTCGTGAAGCTGTCTATAATCAGACTGGTGCTAAAACTTTTAGTTGTAGAGAATCTACATCTTGAGCAGTTAGATGTAAAGACAGCTTTCTTTCATGGTGATTTGGAGGAAGAAATCTATATGAGGCAGCCAGAAGGCTTCATAGAGGCAGACAAGAAAAACCTGGTATGCAGTTGAAGAAGAGCTTGTATGGTTTAAAACAAACTCCTAGACAGTAGTACAAGAAGTTCGATAGTTTCATGGGTAGCAGTAGTTTTACTAGATGCCAAGCAGATCATTGTTGCTACATCAAGAAGTTTATTGTTGTACAACAAGTGGGTTTATTATTTTATTGTTGTACGTTGAAGACATGCTCGTTGTAGGCTCAGACATTCAGGGGATTATAAACTTAAAACAAAAATTGTCGAAGCAGTTTGCAATGAAAGATCTGGGCACTGCAAAGCAGATTCTTGGGATGAGGATTAAGACAGACACAAAGTCGGGGACTTTGATGTTATCACAGGCTGAGTACATCAACAAAGTACTCTCCAGGTTCAACATGCAAGATACTAAACCAGTAAGTACACCTTTAGGTGTTCATTTTAGACTCTCCAAATAACAGTCACTAAAGACGGGGGAATAACGTGCATACATGGTGAAGGTGTCGTATACCTCAGTAATTGGAAGTATAATGTATGCCATGGTTTGTACTAGACCATATATTCTCAAGCGGTAGGAGCTGTTAGAAGGTACATGAATAATCCGGGCAAGGTACACTGGGAAACAGTCAAATGGATCCTCAGATATCTACGGGGTACCACAAACAAAGCATTTTGTTTCAAAAGTGGAGATACGATACTGACAGGCTATGTAGATGCTGACTTAGCTGGAAATATTGACATCATAAGAAGCACTACAGGGTATGTCTATACTCTAGGAAGTACCGCAGTGAGTTGAGTTTCTCAACTACAGAAGATAGTTGCTCTCTCCACAATTGAAGCAGAATATGTCGTTCTTACGGAAGCCAGCAAGGAGATGGTTTGGCTCCAAAGTTTCTTGGAAGAGTTAGGCAAGAAACAAGAAAACAATGTTTTGTATTGCGATAGTCAAAGTGTTATCCATCTAGTGAAGAATCCGTCTTTTCATTCCAGGACGAATCACATACAATTGCGATATCATTTTATTCGGTCTCTTCTGGAATATGGGAATTTGAAACTTGAAAAGATTAGTGGAGCTCAAAATCCGGCAGACATGTTAACAAAGACGGTGACTACGGAAAAATTGAAGTTGTGTTCAACTTCAGTTGGCATGCTAGACTAACAAGAGTAGAAATGCTACTGCATTGATTGAGGTGTGAAGATAAATTAAAATCAGTCTTCAAGTGGGAGATTGTTGAAAGTCAAGCCTTTTTTTCAGTGCATTAATGCACCGAATGGCATTAGTCAAAATGGGCTATTTTTTGTTGAAATTTTGGTAAGGCGAAATTACCAAATTTAGTCCCTTTACTTTAGGGTATTTATAAAATTAGTCCTTCAGCTTCAACTTTCAACTATAAATATCTTAACTCATTTAGCTTCAAAATCATCCCAAATCATTCTAGCTCTCTCCCAATACTAGAGAAATTAGAGAGTTTTCTTAAGAGTAATTTTTAGGGTGTAATTGGGTTGTGAGTTGTGAGTGTTTTTTGTAAACACCTGTAAATTTTATCCCTTTAGTAAAAGATCTGTAGCAGTCTGGAGACGTATGCATAATTGGCCGAACTCCGTTATCAATTTCGGTGTAATTAGGGAAATTACTCGTTTATTTTCCCAACAAAAGGAAGTTTAAGCAATAGTTCATAGCCCTCTAGGAACCATCTCTCAAACACTGGGGCGTGATATTTTTACATTATCTTCTTGCAATTAAAATATTTCTGACAATGCGTTGAAGAAATGCCAGAAGGAGGTTCCATGGTCGATAGCATGGTTCATATAACAACTTATGAACACACCATCTACAAGCTTAGTGACCTGAATGGATAGCAGAGGCCTAGTTTGACCATCATAATTGATCGCTCTATCAAGGTCGAAGAACGATTGAACAACTAATGGAACATAGGTTGGGGAAACAATGTCAGACACCAATAAATCAGCAGTTGGGTGGATGAATTTGGCTCTAGGGTTGTTGTTGCAGTCAACAAATACGAAATAAGAAGGTGGATTTTCTTCTCTTTTGGTTATCAGGTGACATGCTAAGGGATATAAATGGAGGAGGGCGATGAAGAGTGACTTTTTTAGCCGCTCCAAGACATTGTTGATGGAGTGTTTTCCACATTCTTCGGGTGGAGGTTATGATTTTCAATGTGGTTATGATTTTTGGGTTTTTGATTTTTTGGAGATTAGGGTTTTCAATGGTAGAATAAGAAGAAGATAGTTAGGTTACCTGCCACATCAGCGAAAAACTCATGGAGAGAACCATAGGGACATAAATAAAAAGGAACTAAAAGTTTAATAAATGTATTGCAAGTTTCAAAAGTTGGGTGACCAAAATATAAATACCCTAAAAATTTAGTTACCATTTAAATAATTTACTCTTTTATTTTTGACATACTGAATTTTTTCTTTTGTCTGTAATTTATTTCTTAAATATATTTTTCTTTTGTCTGTAATTTATTTCTCAAATATATTTCTTATACGGAAGTTTAACATTTCTTATTTTACATTCTTTTTTATCGTACTTAGATGATAAGATCAACTATTTTCAAATCTTTAGCCATTCGTTTGGAATCATTGCCTCCATAAAAGAATGAATCATTTTTAACTTCTTCCTCCATTAAAATGTCATCGTCGTAGAAGTGATTGTTCCACCAAGTAGGTTTTGAATTCAGGTGAAACCCAATGAATTGAGTGGCAGCAGCAGCCGGCCGTAAGGAGTGCGTCAGTTGGGGCTCGCTCTCCAACCAAAAACCACGACCTCGTCTGTCCTCACTCGCTCACTGAGTCGTCAAACGAGACTGAGCTGAGCTGCAGAAAATAAAGAAAAACCACTGGCTTGGGTGGGTGGGGTAAACACTATGCTAAAAGCATTCAGAGTTCAGACTAGAGTTTTTTCAGGATTCACATCCACATTCAATGATTCGTCAACCATGACCGTACGATTTCATCTCTGAATCTTGGGCCGACTAAGTCGCCCACTATGAGTCGCGCTTCATTCATCCCCACTTCTTCTGTAATCTCTCTCCGTTTTATCTTCTGCGGTTAACACGTATTCTATAAGGTCATAACGCCCCTCCGCACAATACGCTATTATTATTATTATTATTATTATTATTACATTTCTTCCCTTTTTTATTTCTCTCTCATGCAAATCAGCTTTTCGTGTTCCTCTCTCCACGGAAACAGTCCCCCTTCCTTCGTCTCCTTTTTCCAATCTTTTTAACGTAATAAATCCATAGAATAATAAAATATAACAGTTACAATTATCACCAAACATCTTCTTACACTATATATAGTATCCAATCCTTTCATTTTCTTCTACCACTGCATAAACCATCTTCTTTATCGTGGCTTTTTCTCTTTGTTCTCCAATGGAGTTGGGTTTGGTTTCGAAAGATACAACCTGGTGGGTTTTTACTCTACCAGCTTTCTTTGGGTCCAAAAACCTGCTAGATGGTTGTGTTTTGCTTTCCATCTTCATGGCATTTCTTTCAGTTGCCTTTCTTTCCTGGGTTTTTGCTGTTGGTGGGATTGCATGGAAAAATGGAAGGAACCGAAAGGGTAGCCTTCCAATTTCTGGTCCTAGGGGTCTCCCTGTATTTGGTAGCCTATTTACTTTGAGTCGTGGCTTGGCTCACCGTTCCCTTGCTGCCATGGCTTGGTCCGGTGGCAACACGCAGCTCATGGCGTTTAGCCTCGGCTCCACCCCTGTCGTTGTAGCTTCCGATCATCATACTGCAAGAGAAATCCTAAACTCCCCTCACTTCGCCGACCGACCCATCAAACAGTCAGCTAAAAGCCTCATGTTCAGTCGAGCCATAGGATTCGCTCCCAATGGAACCTATTGGAGGCTTTTGAGAAGGATAGCTTCCTCCCACCTCTTTGCACCAAAGCGCATTATGGCACACGAAACCGGTCGCCAACTAGACAGCACCACCATGCTGCGCGACATAGCAAATGAGCAGACACTCCATGGCTCTGTTTTCTTAAGAAAACATCTTCAGTTTGCTGCTTTGAACAACATCATGGGGAGTGTTTTTGGCAAAAGATATGACCAGACAAAAGATGGTGAAGAATTGGAAGAGCTTAGGGATATGGTAGGAGAAGGGTTTGAACTCTTGGGGGCTTTTAATTGGTCTGATTATTTGCCATGGCTGAGTTACTTTTATGACCCCTTTCATATTAATCAACGTTGCTCGAAACTGGTTCCCCGAGTTAGAAAACTGGTCAAAGGCATCATTGAACAACACCAACAAAAACTATGTGAGTCCAAAATGTTGTTTGATAATGCTGATTTTGTAGATGTCTTGCACTCTCTCGACGGTGAAGAAAAGCTCCAAGAAGATGACATGGTTGCCGTTTTATGGGTTAGTGATACTGATTGTCTATAGTAATTTTACTTGCATGTTGAATACTGAGTCAACTTGGTGGATTTTGGTGCAGGAAATGATATTTAGAGGAACTGATACGACGGCTTTGTTGACGGAGTGGGTCATGGCTGAGTTGATTTTGCACCCGGAAATACAAGAGAAGCTGCATCTTGAAATTGACGGCGTTGTTGTGGCGAACAAAACCCTCACCGACGCCGACCTGTCAAAGTTGCCTTACCTTCAGGCGGTTGTCAAAGAAACCCTGCGGATCCATCCCCCGGGACCACTGCTTTCGTGGGCCAGGCTGTCCACGTCGGACGTCCAGCTCAGTAACGGGATGCTGATTCCGGCTAACACAACCGCCATGGTGAACATGTGGGCCATAACGCATGATCCTAATGTGTGGAACAACCCTCTGGAGTTCAAGCCCGAGAGGTTCCTGGAAGCCGACGTAGACGTCAGAGGTGGAGACCTGAGGCTCGCACCCTTTGGTGCTGGGCGCAGGGTTTGTCCTGGAAAGAACCTTGGGCTCGTCACAGTTAGCCTGTGGGTTGCTAAGCTGGTGCAGAATTTCAAGTGGGTTCAGGATTCAGCCAATCATCCAGTTGATTTGAGCGAAGTTCTCAAGCTCTCATGTGAGATGAAGTTTCCTGTGCATGCTATTGCTGTGGAAAGAGCTGATACTCCTTATCCAAAGCCCTAGGGTTTATCCTTTTCAGGGTTTAATCGTTATCGTTGTTATTGGCCTTATTTACTGTGTTTGGGTCGTCTTTCTAGATTTCCTAAGGTTTGATTTTATGTGCAAATGTATATTTAATATAGTGTTTTTAAAATGAATTTCCTGCAAGTATGTATTGATATTTAAGTTGGCTCAGTATTGGGATGATTTATGCAGTTTGAAGGTTTATATTAATTTTAAATCTAAGTTTCTGTTGTGTTGTATTGTTGTGCTTAGCGGGTTCTAAATGAATACAAACAACCCTAAATCAGCCATCCTGTCATGCGCTTGTTATGAACTAGTTTAATATTAAAAGATGTTGTTCTTGTTTTACTGATATTTTATTTTAACAAAAAGATATTATAGGTTAATCTACTTTTGAAAAAAATCAATGTAGTCCTTTTATTATTTTTTTCTCTTAATATGACATTCTAACTCGGAAAATAAACTTAATGTAACCCTTTGACCAACGGTTTTGTCATTGATCGGTACAATACTAGCGTATCGCTAACATGGCGATCCACAGTGCTGATGTGATGGTTCATCTGTCATGTTTGAGTTACCAATTTAGTCAATTTATCATGTCATCTATCAAGTTAATTTGCCATCCTAGACTGCTATGTCAGCACCGTCGACTACCATATCAACATTGTAACGATCAACGACTAAAAAACATTGGTTAAATGACAACATTGGATTTATTTTCTGAGTTGGAGGGTTATATTAGGTTTTTTTTAGTTGGAGTGTCACATTCGATGAAAAATAATATAGGGGCCACTTTGGGTTTTTTTCAAAAGTACAAGGACCTTTGATATTTTTTGCTTTTTATTTGAAAAGTTTTGCGGTCTCTATTTCTTCAGCTTACGTCAAAACTTGGATGTTTTATGTTAACGTTCGTCATAAGATTGTGATGAGTACACAGTGAGGAATGCGTGGTTCTATAAAGTTGATTTTGTTTGTTCATGGAATAGGTAACAGTTAGGTTTGAATTGAGTTATAACATACGAGTTCAATGATTCTTTTAACGCGATTTAAATTAAATCTATTTTTATTTTTTATACAAATATAAAAGTATTTTAAATAATATAATAAGTTTCTTAAACTCATCAGACTAGTTTAGCTCGAATAAAATATGTTTTTAAATCAAATCCAATTTTCTTTACTCAATCGTGGAGTGTATGTTGCCTTCATCTAATCTATTAATTTATTAATATTGTAAAATAAAGAAAAATATATACACAATAACAATATATTATTTTCTTCATGTAGAGGAGTATAATATTTTTTTCTAAACTTCATATTTATAAACACATAAAATAAATGAAATTTTTAAATAAAATGAACATTAAATTTTGGAGTTTGTGATCCTAATGACAATAACCATCCATAAATAATAAATGTTTATAATATTTTTTAGTACGCACGCACACGTGTACACGTGCACATACATATTCTTAAGTAAATAGACATATACACATGCACATACGTACAAACATATATAATACACAACGTATGATTGTACGTTAAAAATGTTACCATAAAAATTCAATAAGACAAAATTCTAGTTAAAGAAAAAAAGATTATTGCATGTATTTATCTCCTCTCGTGATAACATCATATAAGATTTTAAAATCTTCATAATCTAATTTTGAAAACAATTTCCAAGTGTTGAAGTCGATAATGCATTGATGAATAAATCTATTAATTATCACTTAGATGAAATTAATGATCATTTGTAATAATATTTTTTGAAAGATCGTGAGAAAAATTAAAAAAATATATGTTACATTCTACCTCTTTTAATGTATCATTCTTTTAAGTGATGTATAAATTTTGTATCATCTTTGTACAAGATAATTATCTTTTTATGTGTGAAAGTAAATAACATTTTAGAATATGTTGGGTTGATATCTTAGTCAAACACATTCTGAACTTGTCTCATGCATAACATGTATCTTTGCATGATTTGAGGACAACTAATGTTTATCACGTTTACAAATCATGATATAGTTGTACATCCACATATAAATAAATATTTTATTTGAGATCAATTTTGATGTAAATCTAATAAATATTTTACATTAACAAAATTAACTAATTAAAACTTTAAATCATATATAGGTAAAAAAATCCTTAAGATTCTAATTTTAGTTAACCTTAAAGTCCAAACAAGGACGGAAGCTTAGAGGGGCTAGTTATAATTTTAAAGTAATACACACATTCTTTATATATATATATATATATATTTAATTTGGTCCCCTTAAAATGATGTGTATAATAAATTATTAAATTTAATTACTTGAAAGAATGTGTATATTATTTTAAATTTTGAAAATCATGTATATATTTATTTATTGAAAACAGCTTACATTTATTTTTATATTATTATTTTGTTTTTAAATGAATGAAAATATATTCTTCTTTGATATTTTTTATATCAAAATAAAAAAATTTCTTTGTGCTTTTTTTTGTTTGAATGTTCATATTCTTTGAATTGTTCATCTTCTATGAGTTGAAGACTTCAATCAAGTTATCAAATATTTTATTTCATTTGAAGGTAAGTTTTTTTAATATTTTTCAATTCAATTTATATTTATGGTTTTACTTCAAATAGAAATAGAAATTTTAAAAATTTATAGATTAATTTGTGTAAAATGTGAATTTATTATAAAATTAATTAATATATTTTTATGGTTATATGTTACAGATTGTGTGAAATTATGAGCAAACAAAAAGACTAGGTTCTTTTTTTAAAAAAAATACGTTAATAATATAGAAATTAGTATGCCATCGAAAACTCTAATGCTTGAACATTAAAGTTGTAGTCAATCTCCTTGAAGTCTTCGATTGTATAAATTGAAAACATTAATCTTCTATTTATAGAACGTGATCATGGATTACGTAAGCCAATATGGGAATATCCAATTAATCAACGAGATGAAATTCGACAAACATACTTGAGAGCAGTCTGTATCAAATTCGTCTCTCTAATTATCCATTTTCTCAAGATAAAACATCATAAGTGTTTTTAATATTCTTGGTTTGCTCAATTTTCTTCTTGGCTAGCTCGAGTATTCTCCGACTAAGGATGCTGCATATTGTTTGTCATGTTATCTTTTTACTATGAAATCTAGTATACAACCCGGCCGAGACATATTCATTGTTAAAGGGTTTAGAAGTTGGAAAAAAAGTAAATTCCAGAAAGAATAATGCTTTTCTTAATCACATTGGAGATCATGGGCAGAACATATCATGGGGCCAATTATATGTTTAATTATTAATTAATAAAGAAAAAAATATATATTTAAAAAAAATAAAGAAAAATTTACTAGTCCCCTCAATTATAAAAATTGTATTTATGGAAAATAAAAATATTTTAACCCGCTATAATAAATTCCTAATCTGCCCCTATTGGAGATGATCATTGTTCACCGCATAATAATGTTGTAAGATCTTGTGTGGATTTGATGAAGCAATCTGGACATATTGACAAAGTAATACATCGAGAAAATTCAGAACAAATTTTGAACAACGGACTACGAGTCAAGACTTCAATAGATGCTATTAGATGGCTCACATTTCAAGCTTGTGCTTTTAGAAGTCATGAGGGGACACTTAATTCAAAAAATGGTTGAAATTTTCTTGAATTGATTGAACTTTTGGCATCCTATAACGATGAAGTTAAGAAAGTTATGTTGGAGAATGCCCCTAAGCATGATAAGTATGTTTCTCCTTTAAATTCAAAAAGAAGATTTCACATGTTATTGCTAATAAAGTATGGAATAAGATTCTTGAAGATATTGGAGATTCAAATTTTGCATCATTGTTGACGAAGCTCTTGATGAATCCAAATGAGAACACATGTCTCTTGTTTTGTGACTTGTTGATAAAGATGACTATACTAGAGAGCGTTTTTTTATCTTGAATATATTAAAATGCATCCGTATTAACTCTTAAAAATAAAATATGTGTTATTCTAGCTGGTCATGGTCTTGATGTTCAAGATATTCATGGTCAAGGATACAATGGAGCTAGTAATATATGTGGGGAGTGGAAAGAATCGCAAGCATTATTTCTTAATGATTGTTCTTCTATTTATTATGTGCATTATTTTGCTTATCGGTTACAGTTTGCTCTTGTTGTTGCATCTCGAGAGGTGCATTCTGTTCACAAATGTTTTTAATAATTTGAGTTTCATTATCATTCTATTGATGCATCATGCAAACATCATGAAAAATTATACGCTAGTCAAAAAGCTACAATTGCACATATGTTAACTACAAATGAGCTTCAAACTGGAAAAGGTACTAATCAAATTGGCACTTTAAAACGAGCCGAAAATACTCGTTGGGGCTCACATTTTCATTTTATATGTAGTCTTATAACAATGTTTGATGCAAACCTGTTTGATGCAAACCTGCTTGGTGCTTGATAGTATTAAAAATGAAGGTTCCACATGTTCTCAACGAGGAGATGCTACTAGTGCATCTAAAATGATTCAATCGTTAGAATTCATTTTTATTTTGCATTTGATGAAAGAGATCATGGGTATTACTGATGTATTATGTCAAGTTTTGCAACAAAAGTCTCAAGATATTGTAAACGCTATGCATTTTGTTTCAAGTACGAAGAGGTTGATTCAAGATTTGAGAGAGAACGTATTGGGAAAGCTTGTTGAAACATGTGGTATTATTTTGTGAAAAGAATGATTTGAATAATCCATATTTAAGTGTAAAATATTTTGAAGGTAGCCCCGACAACACCAACAAAATCAAGTAACAGTGGAAACACCATTATCATTTTTGACATATTCAATGAAGTGATTGATTTTCAATTGAAAGAGTTGAATACAAGGTTTAGCACAGAGGCAATAGATCTTTTAAAACTTATATCTGCTTTGAATCCGAATGAAGATTATAAATCTTTTAATATCAATGATAATTGTACTCTTGTTGAAAAATACTATCCTTTTGATTTCACTAAGC